TTTTTTTTTTTTTTTTTGGGTTCTGCCATTCTTTCTTTTCCTTTTCCTTATGCCATGCCAATGCAACTTCCTGAGTGGTTTTAAAGAAAGTTCTATTTAAGCTCTTTGTGTGGTATACTTGGGAAGATGTGGGGCATTTGATTGGGGAATTTGACATCTCTCCCTCACACACAATTAAAAATAACTTCAAAGTTTAAAGACATATCGGCCTAGACTTTACGGTGGTGACTTTAAGACCTGTAAATGAGCCGAGCCAAGCCGAGCTCGAGCTCAAGCGCCGAGCCCGCTTGGCTCGTTAAATAAACGAGCCTGAAATCGGGTTCGAGCTCGGCTCGTTTATCACTAATAATGAGCCGAGTTCGAGCTTTAACGAGCCGAGTTCGAGCTTTAACGAGCCAAACTATAGAATATTATATTAAATTATCTTTTCCAGCCGTATCGAGCCGAGCCGAGGTCGGCTCGTTAACCGAACAAGCTTTAAATGAGCTCGAGCTCGGCTCACTCGATCCTTAACGAGCCGAGCTCAAGCCAAGCCGAGCGAGGCTCCTGTAATTTAATAGCACTAGCTACTCTATTCCAATTAGTTTCCTATCCTCGTGCAGGAAGCTAACAAAGGAGCTTTGTGAGGTGATTGAAAATTATGGTCTCGTCAATTTCAGCACTTTGGACATTCAGGCACGTTCAAATCTCTGACATGGTGGAACGAGTCAATATGAGCTTTTAAATTCTCTAATGGTCTTAACCCCAAAGCTTTTGCAGGATAAAGAGAGCGTTGGAAATCTAGTTAAACTCATTGACAAGTCCAACGGCTATATATTTGCTGGTATTGATGCAAGTGCAGTTGAGTTCAGCAAAATAGCAGTTGCTCCAGCCGATTGGGACTATTACAGATATCCTTAATTACAACCAAACATTTGTTTTTACTTTCGTTTTCTTTCAATAATCTCTCTTTTTATCTCATTTTAGATTATCAAAATTCAGCCATGGCTCTTGCGAAATAATATCCAGTTGGATGTGTGTTATCTGGTAATCTGACTAAACCTAAGTGAAAAAAAAAATAAAAATCTTGAATCGTATCGGTTGAAACTTGAAAGTGCAATTAGATTTTCCTTGACATGGTGGATTCACAGTTGCAGCAGTACAGGAAAAATACATAAAGGATGATGACATGTCCTTCGACATTGACCCGGATGATAAGGTGAAGCTAGAAGTGATATAATTCATGAGAATATGTTTTCAAACTTGCCATGTTATGTTTACTCTTCGTATTTTTACACAAGAGGCAGGTAACATTTAGTGCTCTACTTTTTGGTTGTAATTAATTGCAAATTTCAGCTTCTCAATCTGCTCTGCTACTATAAAATGTCAACCGAAGGTTTTGAGGTGATGATATATGAACCTTAGCTGCTAAATACCTTTCTGTATTTAACAAAGTAGAGTATTTTGACCGTCTTCTTATACAATCTTTATTGACATAAAAAGGAGTGATTTACTTTATCCGAACTTTTATATTCATTTATCATGGCAATATAAAGTTCTTGCTTGTGCAAAATTACAGGCTTTCTTTTTGGTTTAATCAGAAAATTAATTTCAATTATGCTTATTTTATTTCCATATTTACCGTATTTCGTCCTCCTTTCTCTTCCTCTATTTTTTTTGCTGATATTGGTACTCTGAAAACTGTTTAGTTACTATGTCTTCGAAAGTGAATTTCGGGTTGTGATCCTTATCTGATCATGAAAGCTTTGATTTTTATGGTGTTCTGGATAATAAGTTTTATATTTTATGGTTCGAATACCTTCTGCACGTTAATTGGTATCTATCACTATCTGTTCTAGTTGCACTTCTTTGGATTTTTATGTGATTATCTCATTTTTGTCATTGATCTTAGCCTTGTGAATTTGTCTTTTCTTCATTTCATAGTCTGCCCTTAAGTTGAGTCACATCAAAGGTCCCGGTTTCTTGTACTTGTTAGTGTTCTATACGATGCATTAGTGTTGTTTTGTGTACTCATGCACATTATGATAACTCAGTGATTTTTGTTCAAATATGAGAATTTTTACGCGGTGCAAATAGGCCTGTAAACGAGTCTAGCCGAGCTCGATCTTAGGATGAGCTCGAGCCCTTAACAAACCTGAAATCAAGCTTGAGCTCGGCTCGTTTATCACTAGTAACAAGCCGATCTCGAGCTTTAACGAGTCGAACTATTCAAATTATATAAAAATTCACTTTTCGTGCCTTATCGAAGCTCGACTCGTTAACCTAACGTACCGAATCAGACTTGTTTAATTTAAAGCACTGAGTGTAAATCATGATGCTCATTGTGTATTTTTGGATGTTTTTCAGTGTGGTGAGATTGAGTGTGCCTATGGGATAGGATAAGTGGGTGAGGGTGGGCCGTTTTGCAATAAAATGATTTGAAAGGACCCCATTGAAATTGAATGAGATTAGGAATCACGCTTTTGCTTTTACTTCGTCTTTTAAGGCATTGCATGTGCGTTTGTCCCTTGATTTGCTTTCTCTCTCCATTTGTGCATCGATTAATCGACTTTAATTTGTGGTTTGGTGATGTAGTTATTATTTGACTCGAGTTGTTCGTGAACACAATTCGGTTTGACTCTTTAAAGTATTTAACGAATTGAGTTTGAACAACTAATGATTTCATTTACTAAACGAATTGAGTCGAGCTTGTTCAAGAATTTTTTTTTTTAATAAAATATAATCATGAAAGTCGAGCCGGCTTGAGTCGAGTTTTTTGTCGTTTATTAGACGATGTGGTTAATAAATGATCACGTCATATCATTCATGCCATGCAGCACATGCTGGTTTCATCTTTTAAGAATGCGGAATGCCCACGAATTTCAGAGATTATTCACTAACTCGCTAATTTTTATTTATTGGTAATTGCAAAAGTTAAATCAATTGATTGATTATATATACAAAGTTGTTGCCATATTTTATTATTTTGTTGTAATTTCATTTGAGGTTTTCAAAGACTTTATTTAATTGGGATTTTCAAAGACTTTTTAAAACTTCATAAATCTTAGTGTATTCAGTTTAGATTTGTTTAGACTTTTAAAAGTCTTGAGGGTATTCAATTTAGATTTTAAAAAGTCTTGCAAAATCATGAGGTATTGAACTTATTTTAGACTGATTTGTTAAGATTTTTTAAGATTTGACAAGATTTCTAAAGAAAAATTCTTATACGAAATTTTACTTCAAATCTCACCTCCAAACTTAAGATTTTTTACATAATTCCTCCAAAATTTGAAAATCTTAAAAAGTTGCAACGCTTAAAAAGTCTCAAAATGTTATTTGAAATCCCAATTAAATACACCCTACTAATATTTTAGAAATTCTATTGTATTTAACTTAGATTTTTTATGTCTCGAGGTATTTGTTTTAGATTTTAATATCTTACAAAATCCTGAATTATTTAACTTATATGAGAACATGATTTGTTAAGACTTTTTAAGTTTTGCTGAGATTGCAAAAAGAAAAAACTTTTTTACGAAATCTCATTCAAAATCCTACCTCCAGTCTCTAGACTTAAGATTTCATATGATTTTTCTAAAATTTAAAAATCTTAAAAAGTTTTAAATTTTAGAAAGTCCCAAAATGTCACTCGAACTCGTAAACGAATACACCCCTAAACCATTATAAACTATTAGGTTTGAAGGGAGGCCACATTTTCCTATTTATCAAGTTGAAAGGGATAATTGAAGCTAGAATATGAAGGTGGACCACATTAATCGTGGCCTGCGAGTCTTCGTAAACCAAATGTTGCCACTGAATATGTATTGTCAATTTGTCATTTTGAGAATTGACTTCATGTATAGTGTTTCATTAGAGAAGTAAATAATAACTACTTATACATATGTATATTAAGATTTGTAAACTTAATAAATACTAGAATAAGTTAAATATATAATATAAATATATATATATATATATATATATCATTTTCCAGGACTACGATAATAAAATAATTATTGTAATAAGAATCAAATTATTAATTAATATTAAATAAAATATATTAGTCACCATATGATTTGAGTTCAGAGAAAATATTATATAATACATGATGAATAAGGCTATGTTTGGTAAAACTAGCTGATAAGTTAGTTTATAGCTTATTAGAGCTTATAGCTTATAGCTTATGACTTATAGCTGAAAAGCTAGCTTATATGATAAAAGTGTTTGGAAAAATTATCTGATAAGCTAGCTGAAATAAAAATTTCAACGAGCTTATTTGAAAAGCTACAAAAAGAAGCTTATAAAGTAAGCTCGAGCTTTTTAAATAAGATCGTCCTACCAAACGTAGCTTATTTAAATACAGTGAGCTTATAAACTAATCAAATAAGCTATAAGCTAGCTTATTGGTCTACCAAACATAGCCTAAAGTCATAGAATTGACAGGTGTCATTTTAAGTATATATAAATACGCAGTTTTTACTAAAAAGTATTTACAATTTAAAATAAAGACTGCTCTTTTTATATTTTTAATAATTAAGAATATTTTAACTTATTTGCTAGTTGTATTTTTTTAGTTGGTGAAAACTCAATCGTAGATTATTTACGTATAATTCCGTTCCCAATTCATATTAATTGATGTTTTCCTTATAACAACTACAATCACCATCATTTTTGAGAAGTTAACGTGATAAATCATTTTGTTATTCACTAACAATCACTATCATTTGGGAACTTAACGTGATAGTTCATTTTTGTTATTTTATTTATTTTAATCAAACAAATTGTTGTAAGTCGGGTAATCGAACATTTTCGATTTAATTCAGTATTCGTGATTCGTATTCGTGAAAACACGAATTTGAGTTAGAATAAAAATAGTGTTTAGTATTCGAATCCGAATCCGGATATGCACATATTTGATTCGAAATTATCGAATATTCGATTTGTTAATAATATATAATTTAATCTTTTGTATTCATTTTTAAAAATTATTTTTAAATATGTACATATATATATTTATATATTTTTTATAATATATATTTTTAAATAAAAATATATATTTTTAAATAAATTAAATATAGTTTTTGAATAAAAATATACTTTTTCTGTTTTAAATTTATATTTAATATATTTTTATATATATTACAAATAAAATCTTACGTTATCGCATCAAATCTATTTAATTATCTTAATCGAATCAAATATGAATTACAAAGTAAATTTGATAACAAATTGAATACTGATATGAATAGTTGAATATTTTTACGAATTCGGATCGAATAGTTGAGTATTCGCTTCGATTTGATACAACTATAGTTTTAAGTATGCGCTCCATCCCACTAAAACAGAAAGCTAATAAAAAGCTCTCAAACTATTATGACGATATTATTAAGCTATGTATCATCCACACTTAATGGGAGATAATTTCAAATTATTTGATGAAAAATAAAAAAAATAAAAAAAAAAAACTTAAGCCATTGATTTTATGACATGAAGCTTGATGTATAATTGTTAAATTTTAGAATTCAAAGTCAAGTTTATGAATGTACCTTTGTATCTAAGCGTGCTAATGCAGAACATATATCTATTCAACTAACTTCACATTTGCAAATTGATCATAGTCATTGAGCTTTTATTTAAATTAGATGATAAAAAAGAACACCTTTTTTCACCAAACAACATTATATTATGCATAAAGAAAATCCATTTGCATGATTTATATATAGGCTTGTAAACTAGTTGAACCGAACTAAACTAGTTGTAAAGTCGTTAAACGAGTCTAAGCTTAAGCTTTGCTAAATACGAGTTTTAACAAGCTGATATATGACAAAATTTTTAAAAAATATGTAACATTTCTATTTATCAGACTGAACCGAGTAGAATCTCCGACTTAATATTAACCAAGTGAGTTTTAAATAAAATTGAGCTCGACTTTTTCTTAAATGAATCGAGTCACAACGAGCCGAGCCAAACCGAACCGTAATAGTGAAAAGCTCGTTTTATTCAACACTAGTTTTGTTTAACAGTTACTTTCTACATGACACTTGCAAGCTTTATAACTCTCTCTCTACAGCAATTCACAATACATACTGACAGTGCCTTGTGCCACTCGCTTTCCCTCTCCACCTATACATACAACTTATGAATGATATTTTTGTACGTATTTGCCGGCGGAGGCCCTAACCAGAAGCAGTTATCCGTCCATCGGGGCCCGGAGTTTTGGGGATTTTTGGAATTATTTAACAGGTAAGAAGCTTTGATCTGTGATTAGATGGGGAGCTATCAGAATTACAGTTGTGGAGATGCGGAGACGCCGAAGATGACGTCACCCGGCTCGTACAAGGCTAAGCGGAGGCCTTCCACGGCGGCCACGGATGACGTCATCACGCTGATGCATGGCTCGGACCCCGTCCGCGTCGAGCTGTCTCGGCTCGAGAACGAAGTTCGAGGTACTTGTGTGTGTGTGTGTGTGTGTGTGATTTGGGGTTTGTTTCTGGATTGTGACTGTGTTTGTTTCGCAGAGAGTGAGTCTGATTTGGGTTCGAGTTAAAGTGTTCTGTTAGCTGTAGATTATGTGTGATTCTGTTTGCTTTTTGCTATTTTATATGCATAAACGAAGAAGGCTCTGTGTGCTATCTAACGCGTTGTTAGTTTATTGGAAAAAAGTTTACTGCTTATTTATGTTAAGAAACTGTATGTAAAATGTTAAAATGAGAAAGTGATAAACCCAGGCTCTCCCTTGTAGATTGTCGTAATTTGTTGAGCGATTTAGAACATTCGCTCGAGCTACTTCTTCCGTAAGCTTGCAGGTTGTGTGCGCGCGGGATTGATTGGTTGAGTTCTTGTTACAACAATCGTTTTGTTTTGTTTTGTTTTATTGTTTTCAACTTATAAAATTAAGATGCTTAAAGTGTCAGACATTGAGCAATTTTAACGCGGGAGTGGTCAATTTCCACTCGGATAGGAAATGAAGATGGAGTCTGTGGAATAGGGAATATTCAGACAGATAGTATGCAGATTATTGGCCTTAGAAGCAAAGATTTTATTGTGTTATAAAGATTGCAACTGTTATGTATTACTGAAGACAGCAAAAAAGGAAGTATAGTAATATTGGGCGGCATGTGGTTGTGGAATGTGGGCTATGAATGTTTGAGAGTAAAGGCAATTATGGAGGACACACTCGCTTTTGCTTGATGGGCTCTCTTAGAAGGCATAATTTCCCATTTTAAAGATGCTCCACAACACTTACTTTTATGTGTCCTAGCATTTCACATAGCGCCAGATGCACGATTCAACCTTTTTAAGTTTGTCAAGAAATAGCGTTTCCTCTCCACTTAGTTGCAGTTTTTTTTAAACCAAACGATGCAAATCATTTAATATTAATAGGTGTAATCAGGTGAAATTGGAAAACTAGTTAACTGAGAATACCATGATGAAACACATTCATGAAATGGTTAGTGTTCTGAGGCTGTCATTTCTCAGACGCCATGTGCCTTTAAGCTACTGCGTTTTACTTTGGACGCGAGTGGCAGTTAGTAAGTAGTAGAGATGGATATTGCAAAATTTTTTTAAATTCACCAGATTCTTGAATGGTGTTATTAAATAAATAAAGTGTCCGAGGCCTTGCCCAACGTGTCTACGTTAGAGCATAGTCTTCCTTTGGAAAATCTATGTTGTATGGTTAGTAAGGGGTCAGATATAAATGGGATAAAGCTTGCTAACTGTATCTGGCAGTTTTCCAAGGCAATTTACAATCCTACAGTCAACTGATGTACGAGTAAATGAAGTAAATCATTGAGTTTTACAGTTTTTGTTATTATCCATGGTCATATCTTGAAGCGGATGAGGTCAAGTTGCTCTTGTCTTTTAATCAAAGCCAGAAGAGCCTGAATAGCTCGAATGTACTTGCTCTAAGGTAAAAGAGACAAATGCAAGATTGTTTGTTCGTATTAAAAATTATTTCCAATGTGTAGGGAAAGACAGAGAAATAGGAGAGGCGTATGCAGAAATAAAAGCATTAAAGTATTCCGAACGACTTAAACAGAAGGCCGTTGAAGAGGTACACTGACTCATCCGGTGTTTTCTTTTCCTCTTATATCGTCAAATTTGGAGAAGTTATAGTGGAAGTGATGTAAACATGATTTAAACTTATAATATGCTTCAAGCAGTTGAATTTCCATCACGTTATTGGGTGTGCCAACATAATTTGGGTAAATGCTTTTGTAAAAAACCATTGAAGTTAGCCAGTTATATTACCATGAAATTTGTTTCCTGATGAATGATTATGTTGCACGAATCATTCAAAAGACCATTTTCTCTTTCAGATTGATTTTTCTCTTCATTATTTTACGTATATTAGGGTGGGGTTGATTGTTTCTGAGGTCATAAAGATTGCCTCCTTGTCCTAAAGAGCACTTTCTTATATCATTATGTTTTTGGCTTTTTGCTAGCTTACTGATGTGTTGAAGAAAGTGAGCGAGAAGTTGAAAGTGACAGAATCTCAACTCGAAAGCAAGGTATGTTTTGGGTTATCTAAACTCTTAGTATTCTCTCTCTCTCTCTCTCTCTCTCTCTCTCTCTCTCTCTCTCCCCTTGTGTGTGTGTGTGTGGTTTCCAGCTCCTACATCATCGTTATTCTTGATAGGGAGAATCTATTAAGAAATTTTTGAATACATATGCATTCTATAAGATTTTAATACTCCATTCTTTCTTGTGAATCTCAGAATCTCGAAATAAAGAAGATAAATGAGGAGAAAAAAGCGGCCTTGGCTGCACAATTTGCTGCTGAGGCCACACTTAGAAGGGTGCATGCTGCCCAGAAAGATGACGAGATGCCCCCAATAGAGGCAATCATCACGCCTCTGGAAGCCGAGCTAAAACTAACGAGGACAGAGGTAAGGCAATTTTATCACTTTCAAATTTTCATCAATCATTATCCTGAATGGATGTAAACTGCTATCTGATTGGATATGGATGTTGCTTTATATAAAGGTGGCAAAGCTTCAGGAGGGTAATAAAGCACTCGACCGGCTCACTAAATCGAAAGAGGCCGCCCTCTTGGACGCTGAACGTACGGTTCAGATGGCTCTAGCAAAAGCATCCTTGGTTGATGATTTGCAGAACAAAAACCAAGAGCTTGGCAAACAGATAGAGATTTGCCAGGTTTGGTTTTTTAGAACTGTCTGTGTCCATATGAATCAGGTTTCAGTATAGATTTTTGATAAAGCTTGTGGTATCATATCAGGAGGAGAATAAAATATTGGACAAAATGCACAGACAAAAGGTTTCAGAAGTGGAGAAGCTAACGCAAACAGTACGGGAACTCGAAGAGGCTGTTTTGGCTGGAGGTGCCGCTGCAAATGCTGTTCGTGAATACCAAAGAAAAGTGCAAGAAATAAATGTAAAGTGCTTTAAATTTCCAGTCTTCAATTATTATATCAATGGAAGCTCTGTGCGATACTGTTAGAGTCTGCAATGAAAATGTGTTTCGTGCGGTGTTTCTAATTGTCAAAGCTTGAGCAGGAAGAGAAGAGAATTCTAGATCGTGAATTAGCTCGTGCTAAGATATCGGCAAATCGTGTAGCTGTTGTCGTTGCAAATGATTGGAAAGATGCCAGTGACAAAGTTATGCCAGTGAAGCAGTGGCTTGAAGAAAGAAAATTCTACCAGGTCCTCTAAATGACCTTGATTGTTATAATTTTCTGAAAATATAAAGATTGTGGAAATGTAAAATACTTCAATAAAATTCATAACTGCTGTAAAAAAATAATTTGTTCCTGTTACTGTAACACAGTTGATTAGTAATTACAGTAAATAATAAAGTACGCACGACTACTACTTCTTCTTCTTTTTTTTTTTATTACCTTTTTTCTAGTTTTCATCTTTACGTGTTTAATCACGGATTGCAGTTTAAATATTTGACAAAGTTAATTTCAAATGTTCAAGATAGAAAAGATGGAGAAATTTATTTAGTAATGAGTGAGGGAATATCGTAACCATGATATATCATATTCACGCATCACATTTGATATAATTCAGTCTTCAATTTTGGGTCGAGACAGGGAGAAATGCAACAACTAAGAGATAAGCTGGCAATTGCAGACCGTGCAGCTAAGGCGGAAGCACAAATGAAGGTGACCAATGCTTGATGTTTGTCAAACTCTTCTCCTGCCAGTCGTTTTCACTATAAAACTGATGTCAGTCCTTTTTATGTTACTATTAGGAAAAATTCCAATTACGCTTTAAAGTGTTGGAGGAAAGGCTTAAAGCGTGTCCCAATGGCACAACCCGTGCTTCGTCACTAGGAAGAAGTATGAGCAATGGGATTTCACGTAGAGAGTCACAAAGAGGATTAGAGAACTTTTCCACACCACCTTCAAATGTCTTTTTGTCGAGAAAAGCTAGAATTTCAGGATCACCCAGATCAATAAGTAGTCCAAATCACGCGAAGACTTTGTCGAGCTCGTTTTACAGTGATAGCAGGCTAACCACTGATGAAAAGGTGATTCCAGAGAAGGAAGACAATGGGAACGGATGTGTTTTGACTGATAATAAGATGAAAACTGATGATGAAGACTGTGTTTCGGGCATGCTGTATGACATGCTGCAGAAAGAGGTCATGTCACTGCGTAAAGCTTGCGATTTGAAAGATCAAAGCCTGAAGGACAAGGATGATGCGATTGAGGTTCTGTGATTAATTCTTATTTTATTATTATTTATGAATACTATATGGGAAGTTTGGGGTAATTGGAGGAGAGAAACTTGGAAGTTCATTACTAACCTTTTTGGATTCTTTTGTGAATTCTGCAAAATCTCTCTCTCTCTCTCTCTCCCTCTCTCTCTCCCTCTCTCCCTCTCTCCCTCTCTCCCTCTCTCTCTCTCTCACGCCACGTTGGACATTTTGGCATGAAAACTCTCTCTCACACACACACACACACACAAGCTACTTTGAACATTTTGGCATGGAAAATCTCTCTCTCTCTTTCTCTCTCTCTCACGCTGCTTTAGACATTTTGGCATGAAAACCACACAGATGTTGGCAAAAAAGGTTGATATGTTGAATAAAGCTATGGAAGTTGAGGCCAAGAAAATGCGGCGGGAAGTAGCCACTGTGGAGAAGGAACTTGCTACCATGCGCAATGGTAAAGATCTACTAGATCAAAAGGCCCGACATTCCATAAGGTAGACCCTTATTGAGTTTTTTCATGCACATTCCATAAGCTAGACCTTAAAATCAATTATAGATAGTTGTACATGTATCTGTAAACTAGTGCTCGTTTGGGCTAGTCTGTTGAATCAATGTATCTGTAAACTAGTGCCCGTTTTTCTCATTATTGGGTATTTCTTTATTTATGATGCATCGAGAAGATATTCTTTTCTTGATTGTTTACAGGTCCAACTTGAATCTATCGCTTAAAAGACACGTTTTTCAAATATATGTTAATTTTTTTTTTCTTTTGCTCGATTTTCAGGAACGGAAAGTACCCGTGAGGCGTGTACGTGATACTGAATTATGCAACGACAAGGATGGTTTTACAAGCACGCGGTAGTTTTGTAAGCAATATGCATATAGTACTGTAAATAGTAGATAAACTATAGCTCAACACATTTAGTGTTCATCTTTGCTGTATATCCGCAAATCATTCATCGAGCAAATGAGACGATCTATATAATGTTTGGAGAATTGTTAACTAATTCGAAAATGTTCCAAATAGAAAACAATTAAATATAGGGAAATGTTACAGTCCCGTTACAGAACCATTCCGTTGGGATTTGTACCCGTTAGATCATCATGTAACCATCGTGGATAGTTGATCTAACAGTTATAAACCCCGACGGAATGGTTCCGTAATAGTATCTCCAGTTTATTCAATAGTCAATACTATGAATATGAAACCATCAAAGAGACCAAACTTAATTCTGATGGTATTTATCGTTTCTCTTTAACTTTGTAGCTTCCATATAAAAAAACTCTGTATAAATCAACGTGCTTAGAGTTGCCTGCCAAATTTCATGAGAAAAACAAAAATAAAAAATAAAAAAAAAAACTCATGGAAAACGTCACCACAATTACTTTTAATCAATGTTCTAAGCGGCAAGATGCCTAGACATTTTTATTTTTATTTTTTATAATCAAAATATAATAATTATATTTAAATTAATATGATAATTACAAGTATAATATATTTAACCAACACAACTAACAAATAATCCAACGTTAATTAGTAGGTTTTAATAATCTTTGTATTTATATAAAGTCACTTATTTTGGTATTAATTAGTATATCTTAGATAATTTAACATATAAATTAGGTACAAAAATAAATATAAATAAATTGATTCACGAAGCCTTCTAGTGCTCGAACTAGGCGCTACTAAACTCTGGGTAATGGTATCAACTAGGGTTGTATCCGACGTTGATAAACAAAAACTCGTTCAACCTCATTCGTTTATTAATCTAGTCGAATTTGAATATAAAATTAACCTTGTTTACTAATCGAACGAACATTAACTCGTTTCAATAATGTTTACAAATGTTAATATATTATAATTTTATTTTACTTTCTGGATATTTACATGATATTTTTACAAGAAATCTAAAATATAAAAATGCTTTTTTTTTTTCAAGATCAAATGAGTTGAACGAACAAATTTCGAGTGAATTAAACATTTTCAAAAATGTTTGTGTTCTAAATTATACGAACAAGAACGAACTTGAACTTTGACGAACAATTCAACGAACGAGTTCAAACATAATTTTTTGTTTAATAAATAAATAAATAAACACGAATAATACTTAAACGCAAACGAACGCGAGCTCGAAATGCCAAACTCAGACTCATTCGGTTGGATTAGACCATTTCCTTATTAAAAATTTGGGGCCATTTTAATATTGGGTAAAGTCCACTTTTGTCCTCCATGTTTAGGGGTATCCAGACTGAGTCCCTATTATTTTTTGCTGCCCAATTTTAGTCCTTAAAACAAAAATGTAGTCCCTATTATGTTTTGGTGCCCAATTTTAGTCTTTAAAACAAAAAATGTAGTCCCTATTATGTTTTGGTGCCCAATTTTAGTCCTTAAAACAAAAAATGTAGTCCCTATTATGTTTTTGTGCCCAATTTTAGTCCTTAAAACAAATAAATATAGTCCCTATTATGTTTGGGTGCCCAATTTTAGTCCTAAAAATAAAAAAATGTAGTTCATATTATGTTTTGGTGCCCAATTTTAGTCCTAAAAACCAAAAAATGTAGTCCCTTAACCTCAATTTATGTGAATTAACGGTCTATTTTTGTTAATAACATCAAAGTAGTTATGTAAAATAATTTAAAATATCAAAAAGATGTAATCAAATTTCAAAGGAACAAATTATTGACCTGATTATAAAAATCATGATACATTCATTGCATAATTATTAATTATTAACTATTAAATAATAAAATTATATATTTATATTACATACCCTGCACACAACAATCCATCCACTCGTCCGTGAGTGGGTCCGGCTCATTTTGTAGTGCCTTGCGCATTTCCCTGACGAAGCCTCCTGGGTCGTCGTGCGTCCGACAGTTGGGGAACTGCTTGAAGAACTCGTTCGAGGGGTGGTTTGCGTAAATGACAATTTTGTCCACTGTCAGTGCCTCAATAATTTGTTCATTTGAAATTTGATTACATCTTTCGATGTTTTAAATTATTTTACACAACTACTTTGATGTTATTAACAAAAATGGACTGTTAATTCACATAAATTGAGGTTAAGGGACTGTATTTTTTGGTTTTTAGGACTAAAATTGGGATATGGACTACATTTTTTGATTTTTAAGACTAAAATTGGGCACCCAAACATAATAGGGACTATATTTATTTGTTTTAACGACTAAAATTGGGCACGAAAACATAATAGGGACTACATTTTTTGTTTTAAGGACTAAAATTGGGCACCAAAACATAATAGAGACTACATTTTTTGTTTTAAGGACTAAAATTGAGCACCAAAACATAATAGGGACTACATTTTTTTGTTATAAGGACTAAAATTGGGCAGCAAAAAATAATAGGGACTCAGTCTGGATACCATAAACGTAGAGGACCAAAAGTGGACTTTACCCTTTAATATTTTCACTATTTCGTGATTAGCGTTTTAGAAGTATCACAAACGTTTCCCCTCCCAACTCCAAAGCCCTACGCTATCTTCACCGGACCCCTTAAACCCCTTCACGCTTCAACCGCAAATACCCAGTTTGCTCTACCAGAAGAAGACAACAGTTTGAAAGCGAACCCCAAAGCCAGAAAGAAAGTGAAAGATATATATGAATGGCGGCCCCTCTTCTCAGAGCAAATAGCTCTCTCAAGCGCATGGCCTCTCGTTTCTTGGCTTCCGTTAACTCCTTTCATTCTCATGGCCACTGTCATCTCACGCCCTCCTCTCCTTTTGCCGTCGCTCGACCCTCATTCACATTTCTTAACAGCAGGTGCCCATTTTATATCCTTTTTGTTTTTCTTGTTAAGCTGTGTATGTGGACTGATTTGTCTGCAGTAATTTGTGTAATGGGCTTGTTTAATATTTCAAGGTCCCATTTCTTTTGGTGGGTTTTGTTGAAAAAAAAAATGTTTAGGGGGTTCTTATTGGGTGATAGTGTAATTTTTAAGTAGTATTTTGGATTTTGAGGAGCACCATGAGGTGGATCTCATGTTTTGGACCAGCAGTTTCCTTATAGATTCTAAGGGGGGGAATTTAGTATCGTTGGCAAGGTTTCCCTTTGCTGTTGTTGGATGATTGTAAGCTATTCTTACAGCCTTGTTTGTTTCAGAGCGATTGATGGGTGGAGCTTGAGGAAGGTTTCAAGCAAGCATGTACCGTGGAATGCTGTGGCTCCCAGAGCATTTATGTCATCAACCGTCAGCACCGAGGCTGTTCGTGAGAGTAAAGTCTCGAAAGAATATGGGTCGGAGCAGATTCAGGTGAAATTCCTGGCCTTTGACGAACATGTTAACATATGTAATCTCTTGCCATGTAGTCATGTTTTCAACACCTCTTTCCTAGTTAGCAGATCTTGACACAATATGCTTTTATTTGTCCTTTCTTTTTTTCTTTAAGGTATTGGAAGGATTAGAAGCTGTAAGAAAACGACCTGCCATGTACATCGGAAGCACTGGGTCCCGCGGCCTTCATCATTTGGTGTGTCGTTTTTTTCCTTTTGTTTGCTTATTTATTATGGCTATTGTTAAGGAAAAGTGCCGACTCGTTTTGCTTAATCTGTTGTCAGGTTTATGAAATCTTGGATAATGCCATTGATGAGGCACAAGCAGGATTTGCTTCAAAGATTGACGTTATTCTACTAGCGGATAATTCAGTGAGCATCACAGACAATGGGCGTGGGGTATGTGCTTTCCCACTGGGTATAGATTAAATGAGGCAAAATTATCTGTTTTGTGTACGTAGTAAGAATGCTACTTATGCCTAGTTAGCATGTAATCATGTGTGAGAATTATTTTCATATTCTAACATTTATTGCTTGTGTACAGATCCCAACTGATTTACATCCAACCACAAAAAAGTCTGCTTTGGAGACTGTCTTAACAGTAAGGGTTCCTTTTGCTAATTCTAATTTCAAGCCCTTTAAATTGTGTAGGGAATCCTTTTGTTTGGATCGATATCTTCATAGTTAATAAGGCATTTGTTTCTTATTTGATACCTGAAAATATGTTGATCTAGGCCTCTACTGTAAATAGACTATTACTTTAGATGAGCCCTGTCATGTAAGTTCTTGTTATTGGATGAACTATGTTTTATGTCTAGCTATTGGCAAAAGTCATTATTTTATTCTTATCATAGCGAAGCATTATTGCAGGTTTTGCATGCAGGTGGAAAGTTTGGTGGTTCGAGTAGTGGTTATACCGTGTCAGGTGGTCTACATGGTGTCGGTTTATCAGTTGTTAATGCACTGTCTGAGGTATCTCTTCTTATTCATTTAACATTACAACTTCTAATTCTGTATTCTTCTCCATTTATTTTCTCTTCTTGTTCATTAGATTAAATTTTTTTTATATGTTTGTTCTGTAATATATATTAAAAAATATATATTGGTTTCTTGATTCATTTAATCATACCAAGTCTTATGACTTGTTATTAAGAAGCACATTTTTGAACATGTAATCTTACATACTTTTTGGTATGACAATTGTATTTTCATCCTTGTCTTTGCTTGTGGACAGGCCCTTGAAGTTACTGTGTGGCGCAACGGTAAGGAGTACAAGCAGAAGTATTCTCAGGGAAGAACCGTTACAGATTTAATTTCTAACGAGCTTCCAGCTGAAATGAGTGACCGTCAAGGGACTCGCATACATTTTTGGCCGGACAAAGAAAGTAAATATTTTTTTTCTTTTCTTTTTTTTTTTCATTTTTCTTTTTGGTAAAACTAATGCTGATGGATTGGACTCCTTCCGGAATGTGCCTCAGTATTTACAACTGCTATTGAGTATGACTACAACACAATTTCTGGAAGAATCAGGGAGCTTGCTTTCCTCAATCCTGAGGTACATCATTAATTTTGTTTGTTCATGATTCTGTATATCTGTAACGTTTTTCACTTTAGTTCATGGAGGTTGATAGTCATATTAGAATATATATCTCCTCATATTTTTGTTCTAGCACTAACAAAAGATGAGAGATTTTTCTCATGTATAGGTCACAATTGGACTTGAAAAGGAGTACGTAGACCCAGAGAAGAAGCTGTATAATGAGTACAACTATGCTGGAGGATTAGTGGAATATGTGAAGTGGCTTAATGAAGATAAGGTATGCTTTATGTTTTTGTTGCTTGTTCATCATCATCATCATCATCATCAACATACCCAGTATATTCCCAACAGGTTGGGGTCTGGGGGGTCAGTTGTACGCAGACCTTACCCTTGTATTTATACAAGGAGGCTGTTTCCATAGCGACCCAAGGTGCGTTGCGTCGTTTGATATATTTTTTTTCTAGAAACTTCACTAATAGAAGAAGCACTAGAATTTAATTGAGCCATTTTGATCTAGTCCATTATTAGCACTATACTTTTTTTACCTGTGCCCTTGGTATGGGGATATATGAAGTACATTTATGACGAAATTTCTCTTTCATTCATTAAACTTTTAGTGCTACTACTCTGTTCCTTAGTGGGGCATTAAAGGTTTGGCAGTTTAGCTTGCTTTTGGCACTGTGTGTGTATTAGTGATTAAAAACCAATTGTTCGATAGAGAAAAAGAAATAAAAATCGTGCAGTACTGTTGTTTGTTATGGACCTTTGTGCTTCTGCAGTTTGGTTTTTATGCTCCCATTGCTGATTAACGCCTTCTAGAAACAAAGTTTATCTAATTTTCTGAGTCATTGTAGTTCCATTTGTCCTCAAAACCAGATAGCTTATAAGTGATTTTGACACGTGTAATTTGAAATATTCTCATAACTTCATAAATTCCTGGTCCAGAAACCTCTTCATGATGTAGTGGGTTTTAGAAAAGAAGCTGATGGAATCTCAATTGATGTAGCACTTCAATGGTAAGAATCTGAATTTGTCATTTTCTTCTTCTTTTTTTTTTCCCCCTCTTGTTTTAAATCTTATGAATTTAATTTGGATATGTCGATCTTTATACAGGTGTGAAGATGCATATTCAGATACTTTATTAGGATATGCCAACAGCATTAGAACTGTGGACGGTGGCACTCACATTGACGGGGTGAAAGCATCATTAACTAGAACGCTCAACAACCTTGGAAAAAAGTCCAAACTCATGAAGGTATTGAATATCAGAATTTTTTTTTCTTTCTAATCTGTTTTGTTTGTCAATATCTTCACCAGAAAAGTTTTCTTACAGGAGAAGGATATTAGTTTAAGTGGCGAGCACGTGAGAGAGGGGTTGACTTGTGTCATTTCTGTTAAAGTTCCAAACCCGGAATTTGAAGGACAGACAAAGGTATACTGTGTACAGCATTTTCCTTCCCAAAAAAAAAAAAAAAAAATGGAATCTTTATAGAACTACCGAATTTTCTCGTTTAAAATAATGACCTGATTTTATTGAAATTATTTTTTCCTTAGACGAGATTAGGAAATCCGGAGGTTAGGAAGGTTGTGGATCAATCTATCCAAGAATATCTTACTGAGTACCTGGAGTTGCGTCCGGAAGTTCTTGATTCGATTCTTTCGAAGTCCCTCAATGCTCTCAAGGTATATTCTCCATATAGCTTTTAACTTTTAAGTGAATTTCGAGCTTATAGCTGGTAGCTTATGACTTATGGCTGAAAAAACTAGCTTATATGATAAAAGCGTTTGGTAAAATTGACCTATACAAAAGTTCAATGGGCTTATTTGAAAAGTTAGTCAAGGAAGCTTATGAGATAAGCTCGAGCTTTTTAGAAAAGCTCATCCTACCAAACTAAGCTTATTTGAATACAGGAAGTATATAAGCTAACTAAATAAACTATAAGCTAGCTTATATGCTTACCAAACACAGCCTTAAGCCGCTGCTGTATTTTTAATCGGCTCACTTAGATGATTTCGAAACGTTCTTGAAACATCTGTTTTGATATATTGTTTTTTTGTTTTTTATTTTTTGAATTCTCATGATTTAATATTTTTATTTTTTAGGCAGCACAAGCGGCAAAGAGGGCGAGAGAATTAGTGAGACAAAAGAGTGTTTTGAAATCATCTTCCCTTCCTGGAAAGCTTGCTGATTGTTCGTCTACGAATCCTGAAGAATCTGGTAAATTATTATTTAATTTATTAATTTTGCTGGATCCTTTAAGTAAAGTTACATTTATTATTTGTTCATGTCCAAAATATTCTAGAGATATTTATAGTCGAGGGAGATTCGGCTGGTGGGAGTGCCAAACAAGGCCGTGATCGCCGGTTTCAGGTGAAGATTTAAGCTCTAAAATCTAAATTATGTTTTGTTTAATTTGAAAACAATAACCGTGAGGTTTTTCAAAACAAAATTCTGTTGTCATTATACAGGCCGTGCTTCCTTTAAGGGGTAAAATTCTGAACATCGAGAGAAAAGATGAAGCTGCTATGTACAAAAACCAAGAAATTCAAAATCTTATTCTTGGTCTAGGACTTGGAGTGAAGGTATAGCTCATTCAATATAGATATATATATTATATATATATTATATAAATTTTTTTATAAAATAAATATATGTTACTTATTTCCTTTTTTAATTATTCCTTCGAATTTTATGCTGAAGTATCCTTTATTTTCAGGGTGAAGATTTCAATAAAGATTCCCTCCGTTACCACAAAATCATAATATTAACTGATGCAGATGTTGATGGTGCTCACATACGAACATTGTTGTTGACATTTTTCTTTCGCTATCAGGTGATATTTTTTTTAGTAACTTTTGTTTTAATTTTAATTTATATTTTGAATGGACTTTGATGGTTTATATTTTACACAAATTACCTGCAGAGAGCTTTGTTCGATGAAGGTTGTATCTATGTTGGGGTCCCACCTCTATACAAGGTACTGAGACGATTTCCATTTTTTTTTTTTAACACGGTTTTAATAACTACAAATTGATAATTCAGGTTGAGTCGCACAAGAAAGCATATTATTGTTATGACGACAAAGACCTTAACGACCTTACACGTAAAAATTCTCCGAACTCATACACCATTCAGAGGTTTAAAGGTGAGTTTTTGCTGGGAAAAAAAAAGATACGAGTGACTGATAAATTTAAATTTTCGTATATGCCCCTCGGTTGCAATGGAAAAAAACTATCCGTGGCCTGTATTACACGTCTGATTGACATTTTAATTGAAAAAAAAAATAAATAAAAAAAATGCAGGCCTGGGGGAAATGATGCCTGCGCAGCTGTGGGAGACGACCTTAAATCCAGAAACGAGATTGCTGAAGCAATTGAGGGTAGATGATGTGGCCGAGGCTAATATTGTCTTTTCGTCTCTCATGGGATCCCGAGTACGTAAAAGATGTTCTTTTCGAGGCTTTTGTATAAATTGTTCGAGGCTATCACAGCAAATCTTAATGCCAAATATGCCCTTTTTCTTTTTTCGAGGCTTTTTTTTTTAATTGTTATTTCTATTTTCTGGTTTCAGGTTGATACCAGAAAGGAACTCATTCAGAACTCTGGAAGTCTCGTCAAGTTCGATCAGCTCGATATTTGAAATCCTTTACGCGATGAAGGGTTATA